AAAAAAAAAAAAAAAAAAAAAAAAAAAAAAAAAAAAAAAAAAAAAAAAAAAAAAAAAAAAAAGCCCGGACAAAAGGAGTGACAGGAAGGGATTTCTGCGGGAGGGGGACATGGTTGAGAGCTTTCTGCAGGGCACAGAAAGTGACTCTGTCAAGGCGCTGAGATGGGCCGTGGGATGCTGGGGACAAAACCAGCGCAGCTTAGCGCGGTGCCGGCCCCGCTCGCCCGCCCCAGCGCGGGCAGGGGACACCCCGCAGCTCCAGGGGACACCCCCCCGCGGGCAGGGTGACAGGGGCTCGCTCGGGGACAGAACCGTTTTTGTGTAAATGTAAAATAGTTTGGAACCGGGAGAGGGGGCCAAGGCTCGGGACAGATTTATCCTCTGGCGGCAGACACCCGGTACCACCCGGATCTGCATATGAATCGTCCCTCGGGCTTATCTGAGCCCGGGACAAGGCTGCCTTTGTGGCCCCACGGCGGCTCTCAAGTTGTTAAACTGGAACCGGCTCTGGAAACTCGGAGATAGCGGCCTTTTCCTTCCAGGCAGCTCAAATAGCAGCACCTTTGCTGGAGAAAAAGGTGGGCGAAGGCGGAGAGGGGAGTAGAATGTCGGGAGGGGCAGATRCAGCCCCGTGTCCCTGCTCYCGGCTCTGCCAAGGAGCTCCCGGCKCTGGRGGACGTGGCAGAGCCCCGATGCCCCAAAAAGGGGGAGGGCAGCCGCGGTTACCCCCATGCCAGGCCTCTCCATGACCTCTTGTTCCCGGAGGAATCGCCGGGCATCTGTTGAATCAGCGCGGGGCACGGCCGGCTGCGCTGGGAAGGATGAACTGGGAAGGATGAACTCCCCAAGCCGCCCGGGACCAAATTAGCCCATGTTCCTTTTTACTCCTAATTACCGCGCGATTCCYCCTGTCCTTCCCCAGCAGGTCCTGCCAGTGCCCCCCAGCCGCCAGAGCTCCCCCAGCGCTCCCCATCCCCGAGCTGCCTCCATTATTTTTGATTCTTTCACCAATTCAAAAATGTGCAAATGAGGCCGTGGCGTCCCAATCAGGCCTGGCCGGGAGCTAATTGGCTTTAAGCAGGGAGACCTGAATATGCTAATGATGGCAGTAACAAGCCTGTGATGCGCCTGGAAGGGGAGCCAAGCCCTGGGCTYCACCACGGGCTGACTGAGACACGTCAATTAACAACCAGGCAGATAATTTATTAATGCTCCTTTGCACCCCTCTGCCCTTTGCTCCTAATTACGGTTTGATACATGAAACAGCGAGGAGGTTTGGCGGGTCGCGCTCCCAGCTGGAGCGTCCCCAGGGGCTCCTCCTGCCCCCCACGAGCCCCACTGAGCAACAGCCCCCGACCGCGACTGGGGGGTCTCCAGCCCACACAAAGCACCCCAGAGCTCTCCCACCATCCGACCACTGCGGACGCGGTCCCTGGGCTGGGATTCAAGTGGATAAAGAGGCTCGGAGGAGGAAAATGTGATGGATTGTGGCACSGCCGGTCCCGAGAGGGTCTGAGCGCCCAGAACCTCCTCGAGGGGTTCCCCCACCTGCGGGGCCGCAGAGCAGGGGGGAGTCAGCAATGGGGTCTGCGGGGGGGCTCTGGGAAGGACCGGGTGACCGGCAGGTTTGT